GCTGCTGAGGTTTTCTCTGGAAATTCCTTTCCTGCTGCCCAGGAAGCTCTTGCCCTTCCTTGAAGCCTCCCTCTTCCACCACCTCCTCCAGGAAGCCCTCCCTCCTCAGCCTAGCTGGAGGAGATCGCTCCATCCTTCCTGCCGCTCCCGCTTCCAGCTTTGGGTCTCGGGTGCCCGGTGGTGCCCGGGGTGCCCCAGCCGGAAGCAGAGTTCCTGTTGCCACGGCCAGGCAACCACAGCTCTGTTGGCGCTGGCCAAGTTGATCGGCCCAGGGCCCAGGGCCTTCGTTAGACCCTTGGCTGGTTCGGTGGCAGAGGAGGACAAGGGGCACCGCACACACACATCCTAGGTTGGAGTCCTCCCTGCGAAAGGGGATGGAGCTGCCGCCACAGGAGCAGCTGCCTGGAGCCTTTTTGAAGGGGTTGGGCTCTGGGCTTGGTCTGGGCCCGGGTCCGGGAGCTACAGGTGCAGTCACAGGGGCGACACGTGCTGCAGGTAAGCCGCCTGCACTGCACGGTGGCAGCCTTGGGGCCCTACGTGGGCCCAACCCCGGGTACGAGGGCAGGCCCCGGCAAAGCTACAGGCAGGGAGCCCAGCAGGTAAAGGCCCCAGAGTCTGCGGCTGTGGCTCAGCCTACAGGGCCCTGGGCCACAGTTTCCGCAGGTGACTCATCCCAGCTGAAGGCCTAGGGGAAGTGGGGCTGGGCCCCTCCTGAGGGCAGGTCGGGCGACCCCATGTGCTGCAGGGCATTTGGTGCTTCCTTCCAAACCAAGTCAGTTCCCTGGCTCAGCAAGTGGCTGACCCTCAGGTGGACAGCAGCTGGGCCAGGCCTCTGAATGGCACGTCTGGGTAGGGGTATCCCACAGAGCCTCCCGTCTCACTCCAGGCTAGAGCTCAGAGTCAGTGGCACGCTGCCATCTGGAGAACACCCTTCAGGGCAGCCGAGGGGGGACTCCTCAACAGGGAAAGCCGGAAATGACCCATCGGCCGTCATATCTCCAGGACCGCCCCCGGGCGAAGGACAGACAGCTGCACAGTGCGGAGCATGGGAGAACCCACAGCATCTCTGTATAGCGGGGCGTGGGCAGATGGGGGCTCCAGGCTAGGCTGACCTTGTCCACAGTCCATAGAAGGGTTGGCCAGCCAGCAGGGTGCACCAGGGGTGCCCAGAGGGTCAGAGGCCAGGCTGGGACGCCGAGGTCCCCGGGGAGGCCTAGGAAAGCCCCAGGAGAGGCCAGGGTTCCGCTCGTTGGCCGGGCCAAGCTGGCTCTGCCCAGCGGGCTCTAGAGCGTGCAGAAGGGGCCGGTGTCGTGTCGCTTGGGTCTGCGCACACCCTGGATGACCACGCCAGGTGCTGAGGGGAAGCGAGAGTTGTAGCAGTCCTCCACGTGGTAGGCAGCCGGGCCGGGGGTTTGGGCTGGTGAGAGAAACAGAGACAGAGAGGGAGAAAGAGAGAGAAGGCTCGGAGCCCACCCTGGGTGGCAGCCCCCACTCACACCTGGCTCCCAGCCTCCGCCCCGGCCCCACCACGCTCACCCATGGCCCAGCCCTCGCCCTCCCCTCTCCAGGCCTCCTTACAGCCACTGAGCCAGGAGGGGAACACCGGGGAGCGGCTCATGGAGAAGGCCGGCGGGCGTGGGCTCCGCAGGCGGCTCCCAGGAAGAGTGTTGTAGGTGTTGGGGCCAGGGTGCCTCTTGCCAGGTGCCTGCAAAGAGGCCTGGAGCAGGCACTGGGGCTGCGCCCGGAGACCCAACCCCCTGGCCTGAGGCAGCCCAGGGCGGGTGTGGCCTTCAGGTGTCTTGGTGGCAGGGTGGCAGCCCCTGAAGCTGAAGGCGGGGAAAGCAGGCCGGCTGAGCGGCTGGTAGTCGGCTGGCGAGGGCCACTGTGAGGCAGCAGAAGACCGTCGCTGCAGGGCAGGGAGCTCCCCAGACCCTCAGCAGCCCGCTTTGGTCCCGAAGGAAGCCCCAGCCCCTGCCTGCCTGGACTCCCTGCCCAGCCCCCACCTTTTGCTCTTGATTGAAGTCGGCCTTCTGTGTGAAGGGGCTTTCACTCTGGCACCACACCGTCTGCCATGCCCTGCGCCCACCGCCCTCTGTAGTGGGGTGGAAGGGCCTCAGGCCATGGGGGTTCCACTGCAGAGGTTGAGGCCCCCATTCCCAGGAAGGGGACAGGCCCAGTGGTTGGGCCCCAGGGAGGGGACACACACCTCGGCCCTGGTATTTTCGGCCAATGCTGTGGTGGGGGTGTGGGGAGAACTCTCGCACAGACGGGCTTGGCAGCTGGTACCTGGCAGGGCTGGGGACGTCCAGGTCAGTCCTGATCGGGGGGCGTTGCTCCAGCACTGGCCGCGGAAGGCAAGCTCTGGGCCTGGGATGGTTCCAGCAGGCCCCTCCCACAGCCCCCCAAAGGCCAGCCTGGGGCGGGGTGGGGCGGCCAGGACCCTCACTCACGCAGCTCCCTAAGGGTCTGAGTGCAGATGGGCAGGGAATTCTTGGGGGCGCCCATCTGTAACCTGAGGCCAGCTGGGCACTTCTTCATCCTTGGGGGCCACGTCTCATTCCAGGCCAGCGCTGGCTCCAGGCCCAACAATAGCACGGATGGCTTGGGCCTGCACCAGAGACCCCCAGCCACTGTCCTTCAGCCCCTGGCCCCACAGCCCGGCCCTCACGCTGTCCCTCGGCCCCCCAGCTTCTCCCGGCTGGCCTGCCCTCCACACTCCCTCGGCCCCCTGTCACTCCCAGCCCCCCTGCCCCTCAGCCTGCACCCCCCTCCACACTGTCCCTCAGACTTCTGCCACTCCCAGCAGGCTTGTTCCCTCCCCGCCTCCAAGTTACTGGATGGGCTCTGGCGGCATCGGCCCCAGGGGCCCATGGGTCCAGTGTTTGCCTCCGTTGATGTAAAAATTTGCCAGGAATTTCACAGCTTTCTGGTCAAAATTCATGAGAGTCTCCTGGCTGTCTTCCCTGAGGGCATCACGGGGCTCTGTGACCTCACTGGTAGGCCCCTCTGTTGCCGGGGTTCCTGGGAAAGACTCATTGTCAGTCCCTAGAGGGGCTGCCCCAGGGTCCCCACCCCATGGGCCCCTCCCCCACCAGCTAGATGATCACTGGTTCCGCCTGGGCCAGGATCTGCAGCCGGCCCAGGTGACTCTTGGCCCAGCCCTCCCTGCTCCATATCTGGTCCTTGCTAACTTTTCCAACTCCTTCTCCTCTCCTGCACCCTGTGGTGTCCTGGAAGGCTGGGTCCACTCTCGAGGGGCTTCTGGGAGGACCGAGGCCTCGGCAGAGGGTGGGGTGGGGAGCAGGACCTATGAGCATCTGCCAAGTCCTGCGGAGTCCCCTCTGCGTCAGGCCAGCCAGGGTTCCCTGGGGGTGGGAGGGAGGGAGGGGTCCAGGAAGGATCCCCGGAGGAGGAGGAAGAGCCACCATCCCACCTGGATTTCCACTTGGGGGAAAAGCAAAGCCACATCAGATGGTCTTACCCCAGAGGAAGGCAGGGCCCTGGAGCCACAGGCAGGGCTGGAGTGTGAGGGCCTGCCTCTCACCTGGGGGCACAGAGGCCAGAAGGTGTCACAGATGGCCTCGCTGCCCAAGCTGCAAAGGAACAGCCAGCCTTTGTGAGCAGGAGCCCAGCTGGGCGCCAGGGCTCCCCGCTGTGTGGCCTCTGGAGCTGACCGCTGGCCGGTCCCAGCCCTGACCTTGGCCCAGAATCCACCAGGGCAGGGCCTGTGAACCGCCTTATCTGCAGGCCCAACTCCCAGCCCTCCTCCACCCTCCCTGATGCCGGGCCTTCAGCACGGGGCCTGCCGGGCAGACAGACGGACATGTGCCTGAGGAAACCAGGTTTTATCTGGGCGGGGGTTCACGCCCTGTGCTCTGGGCCCCGGCCCAGGTTGGGCCGGGTTCAGAGTTGCCTGGCTGCCGCAGAGTGTAGCCTGCTTTGCTAATGAAGCCCTTGCCGTTGGACAGAGAGGCCCCTCCAGCTCCTCCTGGAATAAACATTGCCGTGGGCGTGATTGACAGGGCTGGATGTCAGTCCTTTCCTCCCGTGGGGGAAACACACTCGAGGTGTTCGTCTGCACCCACACCACCACAGCCATGGCAGAGGGAGGGTTCCCCACACTCCCAGCTGGGGGTCCTCTAATTCACCTCCATCACCATTTACCTGGAGACGGTGTCAGATTCCACAGGGTGAGGGCTCCATCCCAAGATGGCCAGACACACGGTGGCAAGCCTGGGCCTTGGGAACTCCTGACCAACCAGCTTCAAGCTGGGGTTCCCATGACACCCTCTTTGGGTTTAATTTGCTGGAGCCACTCAGAACTCGGAAACACTCGCTGAGGGTTACTGGTTGATTGCAGGGGATACCAAGGAAGAGACCCGTGGAGAGAGGTGTGGGAGGGGGCAGAGCTTCTGTGCCCTCCCTGGCTTCCACCCCCTGGGAACCTCTTGAAGACCCTCTGCCCAGTCCTGGGGATTTCTCAGCATTCCTGCCCCCAGGGCGTAGGGTGGGACCTCTCTTGGGAGAGTCTGAAGACCCACAATCAGGCAGACAAAAGGAGGGTAGGAGGTCAGGGTCCCTCTTCCCCTGCCACCCAGGCCGCACACACCCAACATTCTTTTTTTTTTTTTCTTTTTCTTTTTTTTTAAGATGGGATTTCACCATGATGGCCTGGCTGGTCTTGAACTCCTGACCTCAGGTGATCCACCCACCTCAGCCTCCCGAAGTGCTAGGATTACAGGCGTGAGCCACCGTGCCAAGCCACACCCAACATTCTAACAAATGTCCGTACCAAGGGCTGTGGGAGTTGCCAGCCAGGAACAGTGGAGGAAAACCGTGTCCACCAGAGTGCCAGAAAGCTTCCTGGGAGTGGAAGCCACAGTCTGAGTGTGAACTTGATATATACCAAATTGCTTTCCAGGAGGCGTCACTTAAATTAGAGGCTTTTCTCACCGTGATCCTGTCAGCAGTGAGCCTCCAAAAATGTAATCACGTTGTAGCCGCGGGAGATGGATCTCTCCGACACCGAATACAGGAGGAAGGAGTTTATTCGGCCGGAAGCAAGGTGGCATATTTGCCTAATAGCCAAGCTCACCTAACAGAGGAAGGTTCTTTCTTTATATAGGCTTATACTTTAGATGTTACACGAGGAAGAATCTTAGGTTTATAGCTTAACATATGAAAAGGGTTTCTGTTTACAGTCTTAGGAATTACATATGAAAAGGGCTTCGGTTTACAGTCTTAGGAATGAAAAGGGGAAGTTGATCTGAGATGCCTGGGTCTCCCTCTTCATCATCAGTTTTTTTTGTTTTTTTTTTTGAGACGGAGTTTCGCTCTTGTTACCCAGGCTGGAGTGCAATGGTGCGATCTCGGTTCACTGCAACCTCCGCCTCCTGGGTTCAGGCAATTCTCCTGCCTCAGCCTCCTGAGTCGCTGGGATTACAGGCACGCGCCACCATGCCCAGCTAATTTTTTTGTATTTTTAGTAAAGACGGGGTTTCACCATGTTGACCAGGATGGTCTCTATCTCTTGACCTCGTGATCCACCCGCCTCGGCCTCCCAAAGTGCTGGGATTACAGGCTTGAGCCACCGCGCCCGGCCTCATCATCAGTTTTATATGATTATGGTCTGACTTGATGCCTGTATACTTACAAACTCTGTGGTCTTCTTAAAAGGTTCTGCATTTTCCATGGAGGTTTGTTTATATCTCTGTTTTGTGAGAGTTTTTTTTTCTCCAGACTGGAGTGCAATGGCATGATCTCAGCTCACTGCAACCTCCGCCTCCTACGTTCAAGCGATGCTCCTGCCTGAGCCTCCCCAGTAGCTGGGATTACAGGTTCCCAACACCACACTCAGCTAATTTTTGTGTTTTTAGTGGAGACGGGAGTTTGCCATGTTGGCCAGGCTGGTCTCAAAAGTCCTGACCTCAGTCTCAAATGCCCACCTACCTCAGTCTCCGGAAGCGCTAAGATGACCTGAGCTGCTGTGTGAGAGCTTCTCATGTTGATCTCACATCTATTCATAACACCTGTGGCAAACTTTTTCCAGTCTTTAGTTTGCCTTTTAGTTTAGTTTTTTTTTTCCTTTGCTGAGACGTGGTCTGGTTCTGTCGCCCAGGCTGGAGTGCGGTGGTGCAATGTCAGCCCACTGCTCCTCCACCTCCCAGGCTCAGGCCCTCCTCCCATCTCATCCCCCCGAGTACCTGGCACGCTCACCACACCTGGCTGATTTTTCTTTCTTTTCTGTAGACGAACGGTTTCCCTGTGTTGCCCAGTTGACTCAAACTCCTGGGCTCAAGCAATCTACCCACCTCGTCCCGCCTCAGCCTCCCAAAGTGCCTGGACTATAGGCATGAGCGACAGTGCCCAGCCTTCCCTCCCTTCTTTATTTTTTGAGACAGAGTCTCCTTTCACCCAGGCTGGAGTGCAGTGGTGTGACCTCAGCTCACTGCAACCTCCGCCTCCCAGGTTCAAGCGATTCTTCTGCCTCAGCCTCCCAAGTAGCTTCGGCTATGACTACAGGCTCCTGCCACCAAACCCGGTTAATTTTTGTATTTTTATTTGAGACAGGGTTTCACAATGTTGATCTGGCTGGTCTCGAACTCCTGACCTCAGGTGATCCGCCGGCCTCGGCCTCCCAAAGTGCTGGGATCACAGGTGTGAGCCCCTGCACCCGGCCACCTTCCTTCATTTTTATGGTTAGGAACTCCTTCCTGTAGAAAAGAATAAAATTCAGGATTTGTTTAAAACGTAAGCACAATGCCCTGCCCTGCGTGAAGGGCCCACGGGAGGAAGAGTCCGCTCAGCCCTGCAGGCCAGGCAGCCCCCGACCCCAGCCAAGGCTCTGAGGCTCTGCAGCCGCGAGGGCGTCCTGTCAGAGGAGGGTTCTGGGGGCTCCCATCGCCTCACCTGGAGGCAGGGGCTGCTGGCCTCCTGGGGGTCCGCCCCAAGAGCCCAGGCCCTTCCTGGAGGGTCAGTCCTGTTTTCTCAGCCCTGAAGTTAATGGGACTTCCTCACAGGCCCCCCGCCTCACCGTGACCCCTCTCCAGCCTGGCACACGTCTCGGCCTCTGTGAGTCACCTGTGCAATGGGGGCGCTCACGGGGTTAGCGAGGTGGCCTGGCCCGGGAGGCGCCCACAATGCTGGCCCCTCACAATGGTTGCCCGGCAACGGGACTCCCCTCAGAGAAGGGGACTGGACACCGGGAAGGACAGGAGTCAGCAAGGCCAGAGTGGAAGCAAAATGACAGCTACTCAGAAACACAGCCTCTTCACGCCAGAGCCGCACTATATCCCTGGGTAAGACCGGGAGCTCGGGGGGCTGAGCCAGGGCTGCAGGAGGGGAGCAGGGCTGGGCCTGAGGCATGGAGGCCAGCGGCGAGGGGCCAGAGCTGGCCTGGGACAGGGGACGCTCGGGGACGGGGCTGTCAGAGGCCCAGCCCTCACCCTCCCTGCTGCTGCACCACTGCAGACACCATGCCAGGGGCCACACGCCTGCGGAGCAGAAACCGGGGCAGCCGACCAGCGGGCACAGGCTGGCTAGGAAGTGCCTGCCGCCCACTCCATAGAGAGCTCCACACTTTAATTTCTATTTATGTATAAACTTTTTTTTTTGAGACGGAGTTTCGCTCTTGTTGCCCAGGCTGGAGTGCAATGGCGCGATCTCGGCTCACCGCAACCTCCGCCTCCTGGGTTCAGGCAATTCTCCTGCCTCAGCTTCCTGAGTGGCTGGGATTACAGGCACGTGCCACCATACCCAGCTAATTTTTTTTTGTAGTTTTAGTAGAGACGGGGTTTCACCATGTTGACCAGGATGGTCTCGATCTCTTGACCTCGTGATTCACCCGCCTCGGACTCCCAAAGTGCCGGGATTACAGGCTTGAGCCACTGCGCCCGGCCCTAATTTTGTATTTTTAGTAGAGACAGGGTTTCACCATGTTGGCCAGGCTGGTCTTGAACTCCCATCCTCACATGATCAGCCCGCCTAGGCCTCCCAGTGTTGGGATTACAGGTGTGAGCCACCGCTCTGGGCCCGTTGGCAATTTTTGAAACAAAGGCCGTTCTCGCTCCTTCAGTGATCACGCAGCCCCTGAGGCGCTGAACCGCCCACACCACCTGCGACACGCCCCACAGGCCGAATGAAGGCCCCAAAAAGCCCAGCCCCAGGCCCGGTTCTTGCAAGATGCCACTGGCCTCCTGGGGTGGCAGGGGGCAGGCCAAGCCCGCCGCACACACTCCTGGCAGGCCCAGCCTGTGTCCAAGGGGCCGCCCCTTGCCTAGGCCCTGGCCCACGTCCTGTGCCTGAACTTGCTCTGCCAGGGCAGAGAACCCCTGACTCGTTGGCCATTGGGGTGAGGGTCGGGAGGGGTTGGAAGGCTCTCGTAGCCTGTACAAGGCCGGCAGCCATCTGCTGTGTGCTGACGCATCCTCAGCACCTGCTGCGCGCTGCCCGTTCAGCCTACGAGAGCCCCAGAAGGCGAGTGCCTCTGCAGTCCCATTTGCAGGTGAGCAGAGGGCAGGGGACCTGCAGAGGGCAGGGGACCTGCGGAGGGCCAGGCCGCTGCGCAGTGGCGGGCAGGCCGGACCCCCGCCTGGCTTGACAGGCCCTGCGCCGCGCTGGGCTGCCCGCGAGCCCCGCCCCGCCTCCTCTCTCTCCTCACAGCTATGCCGGCTTCTACCCGCAGCTGCGCTTCCAGGTGGGGAACACCTACGGGCGCACCACGGGCCAGCTGCTCACAGACCCCAGCGTGCAGAAGAGCCCCTGTTCTGTGCTGTCCCCCATGTCCAAGCCCAAGTTCATTGAGGACTTCAGCCAGTCCAGGCCCCCCCGGGTTCCCTGCCGAGACCTGACTGAGCCCTACATTCCCCACTACACCAGTGAGCTGCCATCCCCGGCCCCACGCCCGCCCGTGCCCGCCCGTCCTGGCACTCACAGGCTGCTCTGTCGGTACAGGTCTGAAGCCCTACAAGAACTTCGAGATCCGGGGCCAGCTGCCACCCCTGGATGTGGACGCCCCAGAGCCGCCAGGGGTAGAGAACATATCCAGACACCTTCTGCTGCCTGCCGGTGTCATGCCTTACCCCCCCCCACCCCCTGTGCCCACCAGGCAGGAAGGGGGACTCCAGAGGCTCGGGACACCCAGGCCTGTGGCTGGCCTTGGGGGAAGAGGCCTGGAGGAACGCCGCCCCTGTCTGTGAGGCCCCCAGGCAGCAGCAGGTACGGGATGCACCAGTCTGTGCCCAGCCCATTCCGGCTCGGCTGTGGGTGGCAGCTGCAGGACGACCTCTGTCCTCCCTACTGCAGCTGTACCACTGCCGGAGGGACGAGTACCCCCCCCACACTCACCAGCAGGAGACACTAGATGTGTGTAGGTTCCAGCGCCTGCCACAGCTGGACCACCCCAACCTAATCCAACGGAAGGCCATCTCAGGTGGGCGCAGGGCTGGGCTGGACGAGGACGTCCCTCCCCGCAAGGTTCTAGGGGCGTGAGGGCCCCCGAAAAGGCTGCCACAAGGGCCGCTTTTCCTGCTCTGGAGCGGGTTAGCAGGCTGGGGGAACCTCCGCTGCCTCCTGCTGCTTCCAGGAGTCCAGCTTTGTCCTGCCTGCCTCTTCCCATTTGGCCACAGCAGGCAGTCGCCAACATCCAGGGAAGGAAAGAGAGCCTTACCTGGCTTCCCTGACGCATTCTGGGTCAGGTGGGTATGGCTGGGGGAAGGTCAAAGGGCCTGGGTAGGACCTGCACTTCTGCCCACCCTAGGCTATACTGGCTTCATTCCCCGGTTCTCCTGGGTAATGGGGGTCAATTACCGAGACGGTGTCACACAGGCCATGGACGAGTTTGACAAGAGCCAGGTAGGAGAGCGCCGTCCCGGGCCTGCTCCCAGCTCACAACTTCCTCCAGTCTGGCAGCTCCCCTGGAGGGGCCTTGAAGGCCAGGCTCCCTGAGAAGCCTGGTGAGGGGGATCTGCCTGGCTGTCTCTTGTGCCCAGAGGGAGCGCCCCAACCCCCTCTCCTGCGTCTTGGATCCTGGGGTGGGGATACAGGAGGCTGGGACATTGAGCGGCTTTCCCACGGAGAGTGCCGTCCCCCCACCCCCATCAGGCCCCACTGGGACATTGTGCTGTGTGGTTGCCCTTGGGGGAGGCAGCTCCTCAGCCCCTGCCTGTCTCCCAGTTCCTATTCAGAAACCCCCACTGTGACCTGGGCGAGAAGCTGCCGGAAACACACTGGCTCAACCACATCTACAGCAACCAAGGCCTAATTCCCTTCTACATGGGGTTCATCCCCTGTGAGTAGGGGACCCCATGCCCAGCTTCTTAGGACAGGGTCACACGGACACACGCCGGCCACTGTGGGGAGGGGTGGCTGGGGCTCCAGCTGTCCGCCCTTCACTGCTGGTTCAGAACCACCTGCCTGACCAGTCCCCAGGTTCCACCTTGGGTTGGACTGTTGGCCATTCTCCCTGCCCCTTTTGGATGGGGGTCACTGGGTTCTCCTATTAACACCCCAGACTCAGGCCACCTGGCCCCCTAAGGTTTGGTACCCAGGACGGGCCAGGCTTGCTTCAGGAAGCAGATGCCTGGGGCAGCCCCAAACTCCTCTGAAGCCCGGTATCCAGCCCATGCTGGTCCCTGGTGTGTGAAAAGCCCAGCTCAGCAGCAGCCTTGGTCCCCGCAGCCATGCAGGACAACTACGCGCTGACGTTTGGCAACAGCACCCGGAAGGCCTACTGGAAGGAACAGGCGCGGCGAGACCACACGCTATGAAAAAGCTTTAATGGTGGTGTCTGTACAGCATGGAATATGGAAGGGAAAACAGCAGGTGCACACACAGCGGGACAGGCCAGAGGACAGGCTGGGAGTGAATAAAGAGTTCACACCGCTTCCCTGCTTTCCCGGTGACTGGAGGCTCTAGGCCACCTCCTCCTCAGCCTCCTCCTCAAACTCGCCCTCCTCCTCGGCCGTGGCGTCCTGGTACTGCTGGTACTCGGACACCAGGTCGTTCATGTTGCTCTCGGCCTCGGTGAACTCCATCTCGTCCATGCCCTCACCCGTGTACCAGTGCAGGAAAGCCTTGCGCCGGAACATGGCAGTGAACTGCTCCGAGATGCGCTTGAACAGCTCCTGGATGGCTGTGCTGTTGCCAATGAAGGTGGCGGACATTTTTAGCCCCCGGGGCGGGATGTCACAGACAGCCGTTTTCACGTTGTTGGGGATCCACTCGACAAAGTAGCTGCTGTTCTTATTTTGGACATTAAGCATTTGCTCGTCCACCTCCTTCATGGACATGCGGCCCCTGAACACGGCGGCCACCGTCAGGTAGCGGCCATGGCGGGGGTCGCAGGCTGCCATCATGTTCTTGGCATCAAACATCTGCTGGGTGAGCTCGGGCACTGTCAGGGCCCGGTACTGCTGGCTGCCCCTGCTGGTCAGTGGGGCGAAGCCAGGCATGAAGAAGTGCAGGCGGGGGAATGGGACCATGTTCACAGCCAGCTTGCGCAGGTCAGCATTGAGCTGGCCTGGGAAGCGCAGGCAGGTGGTGACCCCACTCATGGTGGCAGACACCAGGTGGTTCAGGTCCCCGTAGGTAGGCGTCGTCAGCTTGAGGGTTCTGAAGCAGATGTCGTAGAGAGCTTCATTATCGATGCAGTACGTCTCATCGGTGTTCTCTACGAGCTGGTGGACTGAGAGAGTGGCATTGTAGGGCTCCACCACCGTGTCTGACACCTTGGGGGAGGGCACCACACTGAACGTGTTCATGATCCTGTCTGGGTACTCCTCCCGGATCTTGCTGATAAGGAGAGTACCCATCCCAGACCCAGTCCCCCCACCCAAGGAGTGGGTCAGCTGGAAACCCTGCAGGCAGTCACAGCTCTCAGCCTCCTTCCTCACAACGTCCAGCACCGAGTCCACAAGCTCTGCGCCTTCTGTGTAGTGCCCCTTGGCCCAGTTGTTCCCAGCACCACTCTGACCTGTGAGAGAACACAGCTCGTCATTTGTTAGCCAGGTAGATGGCACTACTGGTCACAAACCCCATGGGGAAAAAAGCCAAGCACGTGGTGTGCGCTGACCGCAGAATCCACCCTGCACGTAGCGCAAAGGGACCCTCAAAGCGAAAGATCGACAGCCTGCCGGGTCAAAATGAAGTCAGGGGCCCTGCCAATTCCCAAGGACAGAGCAGCCGACACTGCCCCCAGCTCAGCTCCCTGCAGGGAGATTACGTGTGCCGCGGCTCCTCGCCTCGGCAGACAGCTGGACCTTGCTCCCAAAGCCGATTTAGAAGAGGGGATTGAGCGGCTCAGGAGAGGAGGGGTCCAGGGGCCCTGGCTGCGCAGTTCCCACGGCAGTGCCCTTGCAGCCGCCCCTTGACCTTTGAGCCGCCGCCCAGCCCCAGCCCCCAGCCGCGGCTCACCGAAAACGAAGTTGTCCGGCCGGAAGATCTGCCCGAAGGGCCCAGAGCGCACGGAGTCCATGGTGCCGGGCTCCAGATCCACGAGGACTGCGCGGGGCACGTACTTGCCGCCTGCGGGGACGGGAGGGCGTCAGCCAGGGCAGGGGCCGCGGGGACCGGGGAGGGCGGTCGGAGAAGGGGCCAGGGCCTCACCGGTGGCCTCGTTGTAGTACACGTTGATGCGCTCCAGCTGCAGGTCGCTGTCCCCGTGGTAGGTGCCCGTGGGGTCGATGCCGTGCTCATCGCTGATCACCTCCCAGAACTGCAAGGGACGCGGGCGGGCCCGGGCGGGCCGGGGCTGAGTCACCGCGGCCGGTGCGCAGGGAGGCAGCCCCGCCCCGGACGGGCGCGGCAGCCCGGCCCTCCCCGTCCCCTCCCCCGCCCCACGCGCCCCAGCCGCCAGGTTCCTGGGGGCTTCGGCCTCCCCGCGCCAAGGGCCCAGCGACCGCAATGCGGGGGCGCCGCCCGCCCGCCGCTGCCGCCATCTTCCCCGGCTACCCGGCCGTCCCGCCCGGCCGACCCGCGCCGGCCCCAGCGCCCCGGCAGCTCACCTTGGCGCCGATTTGGTTGCCGCACTGCCCGGCCTGCAGGTGCACGATCTCCCTCATGATGGCGGCGGCGGCGGCGGCGGCGGCGGCGGGGACGAGGCTAGAGACACAGAAACACAGGCGGAGAAGCAGGCGCGCAGACTGCTACAACCGACGCTTCGCCAATGCTTATATACCCTCTGCGCCCGCCTCCGGCAGCCTGGGATTTGGCTGCCAGAACGAGGCTGGAAAGCTCCCTCGTTTCATTGGCCGCATTCCCGTCAATCAGCCCGCCTAAGGTCCGCCTTTTCAACCCCGTTGGGTCTTTATTGGTCGGCCGCAGCCTTCGATCGCCCTATCACAAACCCCCCACCTGGCGCAGCAGCGCTCCGTCCATTGGGTGTTTCAAATGATTGATTTGCCCTGTCATTGGCTGGCTCCCGGGAGCACGCTGTCAGGCTGGCGCTATTGGCTGCGCGGGGTCAGCGTCCTGGTAACCGCCGCAGTGCCGCGGGAGGCGCGCGGAGGGGTGGGGCGCAGGCGCGGGCGCGGGCTTCCGGTCGGCCTGCGGGCAGCTGCGCGGGGCGGGCGGGCCGGCTTGGGGCGGGCGCAGCGCTGGCTCGGAGCCCGGGGACGCGGCTCGGGAGCCGGGAAGCGCAGGCCCGCGGCGGCCGAGCGTCCGGTGTCGCGCCCTCGCCGGCCTTGCCCCGGGACACGGCATCTGCGCGCCGGGCGGGTTCGGGAGCGGGGTCCGCGCGGAGCGAGCCCGGGGCCTCCAGGCCGAGGAAGCTGCGGCGCCTTCAAGGCCGAAGACACCCGGGCTCGGAGGCCGCGGCCCCGAGGGGAGCTCCCCGCAGAGCCGCGGAGGTCGCGGGCCTTCCTGGTCTGGCGTCCCGCGCGCCCGCTGCCCTCGCGGTCGGGGGAGGGGAGCCCGTGGGGCCGCCGAGGGCGGGGGCGCGGGGCCGGGGAGGGGCGCGCAGGGCCGAGGCCTCCCCGCAGCCGCGCGCCCTGCCCTGTTGTGGAGACGGCGCTGGCCCCGCGCCCGTCTCCTTGGAGCCTCTGCCCCGGGAGTGCCCGAGCTTCCCCCTCGGCGGGGCCCCGTCCTCCCGGGCTCCCGGGCGGGTCTTCCAGCCGCCGGTCGGCGCGCCGGGGCCGACAGATCCTTCTGTCGATGCTTTTCCCAGGTCGAGGCTTGATTTCTACTTGGGCAGGAGGACGACTTAGGAAGAACACGAACGCGTGTGGGCGCGCCATGGATCAGCCTGCTTGGAAACAAACGCGCTGTGTTTTCGTAGCATTTTTATTTTACTTATTATTTTGGGGCACGATGTCGGCCCCCCAAGTTCAAAAGATTCTCCTGCCTCAGCCTCTCCAGTAGCTGGGACTACAGGCACCCACCACCATGCCGCTGATTTTTGTAATTTTGGTAGAGATGGGCTTTCACCACGTTGGCCAGGCTGGTCTCAAACTGCTGACCTCATGTAATCCGGCCGCCTCGGCCTCCCAAAGTGCTGGGATTACCGGCAAGAGCTACTGTGCCTTCTGTGTTTTTGTAGCTTTTTTCTTTTATTTTTTTGAGATGGAGTTTTGCTCTTGTCACCCAGGCTGGAGTGCAACGTGTGGTCTTGGCTCGCTACAACCTCCACCTCCTGGAATCAAGCGATTCTCCTGCCTCAGCTCCCAAGTAGCTGGGACTATAGGTGTGCACCACCATGCCTGGCTAATTATTTTATTTATTTATTTATTTATTTTTTGAGACGGAGTTTCACTCATGTTACGCAGGCTGGAGTGCAATGGCGCGATCTCGACTCACCGCAACCTCCGCCTCCTGGGTTCAGGCAATTCTCCTGCCTCAGCCTCCTGAGTAGCTGGGATTATAGGCACGCGCCACCATGCCCAGCTAATTTTTTGTATTTTTAGTAGAGACGGGGTTTCACCAGGTTGACCAGGATGGTCTCGATCTCTTGACCTCGTGATCCACCCGCCTCGGCCTCCCAAAGTGCTGGGATTACAGGCTTGAGCCACCGCGCCTGGCCTTATTTTATTTATTTATTTTTAGACGGACTCTGTTGCCCAGGCTGGAGTGCAGTGTCTCAATCTCGGCTCAGTGCAACCTCCGCCTCCCGGGTTCCAGCAGTTCTCTGCTTCACCCTCCCAAGTAGCTGGGATTGCAGGCACCCGCCACCATGCCCAGCTTAATTTTTTGTGTTTTTCATAGATACAGGATTTTACCATCTTAGCTAGGCTGGTCTTGAATTCCAGACCTCGTGATCCAACCCAGCTTGGCTTCCACAGTGCCGTGATTACAGATGTGAGTCATTGCACCCAGCTGTATGTTTGTAGTATTTGTATTTATTTATTTTTGAGACCGAGCCGTGCTCTCATGCCCAAGCTGGAGTGTGGTGGCACCATCTCAGCTCACTGCAACTTCTGCCTCACAAGTTCAGGTGATTCTCCTGCCTCAGCCTCCAGAGTAACTGGGATTACAGGCGTGCGCGTAACTACACCAGCTAATTTCTGTAGTTTTAGTAGAGTCGGTTTCACCACGTTGGTCAGGCTGGTCTTGAACTCCTGACTTCAGGTGATCTGCCCACCTAGGCCTCCCAAAGTGCTGGGATTACAGTTGTGAGCCACCACGCCCGACTGTGTTTTTGTAATGTTTTTAAAAGAATAAATTAGGCCTGCTGCAGGGTGGAGAGGCGGGATAGTGTGGGGCAGGAGGACCGACCCCTGGGGCCTGGGGTCTGTGACCACGTAGGATGCAGTCCCAAGAGGGCCAGAAGAGCTGGGAAGTGGGGCAGGCAGGGCCGGGGGAGTGCCGCCCTCCTCCGGCCTGCAGCTGTCGGAGGATCCACAGTGACGGCTCTGTTTACCGGTCGCCATGGTCCCAGCGGGAGGGTGTGTTACCACCAGGCGGGGGCATCAGGCAGACAGTGTTGACGGCCTTAAAGGACCCAGAGGCCAGCCATTGTGGGAGGCCTCACCTGCCTGGAAGGACAGGCGCATGGGCGCTTCCTCCCCCTCTACAAGGGCCTCACTGATTCCACTCAAAGGGCAGGGGAGCTCCCCTCAGTCTCCCCAGGGAGCCAGCCAGGTCTGTCCCCTACAGCTGATGTCAGGTCCAGAGGCCATCCTAGAATCACAGGTTTGTGGGAACCAAAGCTCTAGCTGCTAGGGGTTCCGTTCTCACTGGAGCCCACCCCAGAGGCTCCCCCACTCCCAGAGCAAGCGATCATTTCCCTCGGTCAGTGAAACCCAGGCCTAGGAGGCCTAGGAGCTTTGCAGGCAGCTGGGGCAGAGGACCCAGGGAAGACTAGGGGCCAAGGGGGCAGAGGGAACTGAGGGCAGAAGGGACAGAGCCACTGAAGAAATGGCCGTGGGGCCCCTCAGGCCTCATCTTCCTGACTGGCCACACACCTCCTTGTCCCCTAATGGGGTCTGACCAGGGCAACTCGGAGGCCCTGGGAAGAGAGGTGCCCCCATCAGGGCTGCAGTTCTCGATGGGAGGATGTGACTGGTCACAACAGCAGACTCAAATGAGCACACGCCTGCAATCCCAGCACTGTGGGAGGCTGAGGCGGCGGATTGCCTGAGGTTGGGAGTTTGAGACCAGCCTGACCAACATGAAGAAACCCTGCTTCTACTAAAAACAAAAGTAGCTTTCTCTGCTGCGAGCTTCCAAAATGACAAAGAAAAGAAGGAACAACGGTCGTGCCAAAAAGGGCCGCGGCCATGTTCAGCCTATTCGCTACACAAACTGTGCCCGATGCGCGTCCAAGGACAAGGCCATTAAGAAATTCGTCATTCGAAACATAGTGGGGGCCGCAGCAGTCAGGGACATTTCTGAAGCGAGCGTCTTTGATGCCTATGCACTTCCCAAGCTCTATGTGAAGCTACATTACTGTGTGAGCTGTGCGGTTCACAGCAAAGTAGTCAGGAATCGATCTCGTGAAGCCCGCAAGGACTGAACACCCCCACCCCGATTTAGACCTGCGGGTGCTGCCCCACGACCCCCACCAAAACCCATGTAAGGAACTGAGTAAAAGATTGAAGGCAACTATTCCCTGGAGAAAAATAAAATGGAAATTGTACTTGAAAAAAAAAAAAAAAAGTAGCCTGGCATGGTGCCACATGCCTGTAAGCGGGAGTCTGAGGCGGGAGAATCGCTCGAACCTGGAAGGCAGAGGTTGTGGTGAGCCAAGATCTCACCACTGCACTCCAGCCTGGGCAACAAGAGAAAACTGTTTCAAAAGAAGAAAGGAAGGTTGGGAGGGAGAGGGAGGGAGGGAGGAAGGAAGAAAGAAAAGAAATGATCAAACCAGACCGGTCCCTGACGGGCCGCCTCCGCCCACCTGTTTGTGTGTGTCTGACGGAGAGCTGGGGTTCTGGGGTGACCCAGAGCTTTCTTCCCTTGCGGGGAGTGGGGGTTGGGGTGGGAAGCTCTGGGCGAGAGGTGGCAGGAGCCCCCCCCCCCGGGTGTCCAGTTACCACTGGCCAACAGACAAGCCTTCCTGTGTGGAAACCCGACCGCACAGTGGAGGGAGGGCGAGCCCCCCCCCCCACCGCGGCTCCCAAGTCCTCCCCATGGGCGCTGCCAGCTCTCCTGGGCCCACCCCATGGGCAGGCCTTCCCGGGACAGGCCTTCCCCGTGGCAGCGCGAGGCCTCAGTGCACCCCAGCCTGGCAGGGGAGGCCGGCTTCCCCGTGGGTTCTGGGAGCTGAGACCTGCCATGGCCCAGCCCTGCATAGCAGCGTCCCTGGGGACGCAGCCCAGGACCAGCCGAGAGACATAGAGGGCAGAGGGGCAGGGGGTGCCTCAGGGAGCACCCGGCCCTCCGAGCCATCAGGGTCCCCTCCTCACACCCCACGTACCTGGTGGGACTCCAGGCCCCACCCCAACCGTGACATCAGCCAGGGGCAGAGGGGGTCCGGGGCCTCCCAGCCCCAAACCACCTGCCCTGCTCCCTGAAGGCTGGGCTCTCCCCTGTGCCCTCGGGAGGGACCCTGGCTCCCGCTGTGGGAAGTCCCCGCCCCCTAGGCCCCATTCCTTGGCAGCTTCTGTCCCCAGCAGCTGTGGTGAGAAACACCCAGTGGAGGTAGGTGTCACCTGCACCTGAGCCCCGGGCCCCAGAGTGTCCACCAGGGGGCAGCATTGGGCCGCATCCCCTGCCCCTGCCCAGGTGGCCCCTGTTTAGGGGAGTGAGGACGCTCACCTGGGGTAACAGCCTGGTTTATTTGCACAGAAGGGGAGCAGGGGACCCCTCCCCCAGGACCCTCCAGAGTCCTCCCAGCCAGGGAGGGCGGGGTGGTCCTCACGCTGCCCACCCTCACAGCTGCTGGGAGGTCAAGACCTCAGGGTTCTCGTAGCAGTGGGCCTCTTTGGTGGTGGCCTGCGAGGGGCTACAGGCCTTGCAGGGGCAGCAGCGGGTCACCAGGCGGTCCCAGGGCTCCAGAGAGTGGAGCCAGATGGGGAGCCAGGCCCAGGAGCGCAGGCGGGCCGGCAGCCAGGCCGGCCGGCGCCGCTGCAGGATGGTAACCAGGATCACGAGGAGCACCAGCCCCACCAGGGGACCCCCGACGGCAGCCAGCACCGTGGCCCCTGCCAGGGAGAGCCCAAAGACTGCCAGGGGCAGCAGCAGGAAGCCGAGCAGCAGGTAGGCCCCAGCCACCCAGCGGTAACGGGCAGTCACTGCCGCAAAGTGCCTGGCCAGCTGGATGGGCAGCCGCAGCGCAGGCACCGGGTACCACAGCAGGATGCCCGCCAGGTTGAAAAAGAAGTGGATGAGGGCGACCTGGGGGCGAGGGGGCCGTCAGGGGCCTGGGCCCAATGAGATGGGGTCACCAAGGAGGCTGAGCAGTAGGGCTGAGGCTGGCGGCTAGGGACCAGGTCCAGGAGGGCAGGGGCGTGGCCAGCCTGGGGTTTCCGGGAGGGCGGGTCATGGCCAGGGAAGGGGTCTGTGAAGGTGGGGGCATGGCCAGCCTGGGGGTCAGGTAGGGCAGGGGCCCAGCCCACCTGGGCACGTGGGGCTGGGGACACTCCTTTCTATGGGGCTGAGAGGGAGCCTGGCAGGCTCTGGCAGTGGGCGGGCAGTACCTGCAGGGCGCTGAGTATCCTTTCTGCAGGGCTGGCCAGGGCGGCCAGCAGGGCTGTGGTGGTGGTGCCGATGTTGGAGCCCAGTAAGAGGGGGTACGCCCGGTCCAGGCTGATCACCCCGACTCCTGGGGGAACTGGGGGTCACCACAGGGCTCCAGCCTGAGCCCCTGCTCCGGAGGCCCCTGCCCGCCTGCTCACCCATGAGGGGCACGATGGCCGCTGTGAGGACGCTGCTGCTCTGCAGTACAAAGGTCAGGCCGGCTCCCACGAGGAGGGCCAGGTAGCCGCTGAGCCAGCCCAGAGGGAAGGGGAACTCTGTGGGGGATGCCGGGTCAGCCCTGGCCACGGCAGAGGAGGCCCAGGTAGCCACTGAGCCAGCCCAGAGGGAAGGGGATGTCTGCGGGGGATGCCGGGTCAGCTCTGGCCACGGCAGAGGAGGCCCAGGTAGCCGCTGAGCCAGCCCAGAGGGAAGGGGAAGTCTGCGGGGGGTGCCGGGTCAGCCCTGGCCACCGCATCTCCTCCCCAGCCCTCACCCGCGTTGATGATGGTCTTCACGGCCTGGGCCACACGGCCACGCAGCACAGAGTTGAGCAGCTTGACAATGAGGACCAGGCAGCTGCAGAGCACCAGCAGGGAGCCGGCCAGCAGGATGAAGCCCACAGCCAGGTCCGTGAGCTCCGTGCCCGCAAACAGGTGTTGGCCTGGAGGTGGGGCAGCGGCAGGTAAGGTGAGCTTGAGGGGCTGGCTGGTGCAGGGGCCTCACAGGGCAGCCTGTCCGCAGGGCTGTGCTGTTCCTCTCTTTGCAAGGGTGGGTGAGGGGGAGCGTGGGGGGCTTGGGGGGTGTGGGGTGGGCCGGGCCTCACAGGGCAGCCTGTCCGCCGGGGCGGTGCCGTTCCTGTCCTCGCAGGGGCCGGAGTCTCCACAGTCGCTGCTGTTCCCCTTGGTCTGGCGAGGGCAGGGAGGACTCAGGACAGGCTCAGTTGGCAGACAGAGGTCAGAGGGCTCAAGGTGAGGTGGGTGGGGCTCAGCAGGTGGGGGCCAGGGTCAGGGAGGGGCTGGGTGGCGCCTCACCGGCTGCCCAGTAGAGCTGCACCACTGCTTAATGAGGCTGCTGGTGGTGGCGTTGTCCGTGATGCTGCCCACGATCACATCAGAGTCCAGCTGGGGGCCGGAGGAGTCGTGACAGTGTGTGAGACCCTCCCTCAGGGCTCAGCTGGGGCTCTGACGCCCGCAGGGTCCAGCCCAGCCCTGCCCGCTGCTGCCCTCAATGCTGACCCTGCATCAGGGCAGGCCCGGCCTCTGCCTCCCATCCAGCCTGCTCCGCCTCTCCTCACCTGCACGATGAGGTGTGTAAGCGGCTTGGTCAGCACCTTGAGGATGTCGGGCACCTGTGCCCCGGGCTCCAAGCTGGCGGCACCCAGGGCCAGCTCGCTGACCCTCTCCAGCAGGGCCGTGGCGCTCTCCAGCGGCAGCATGACCAGCGTCGTGAGCCAGTTGAAGATGCCGTGCACCGCTGAGCCGCTGAAGGCCCTGCGACCCCAGAGTCGGTGGGGGAGGGGGGCGGCCGGGGTGCAGCCCTGCCCGGCCCTTCCACCTGCAACTCACCTCTGAAATTCATCCCGGTCTCCTGACTGCGCCATTGAGACCAGGGTGCTGGTGATGGATGTGCCTACGTTGACACCCATGATGATGGGCACGGACGCCCGGACAGTCAGCACTGCCGGTGGGGTGCTGAGTCAGCCTGCGGCCCACCCCGCCCCCGCCCCCACCCGGGGAAGGAGGGTGCACACACACTTAGCGGCCACCATGCTGACCACGATGGAGGAGGACGTGCTTGAGCTCTGCACCAGGGCTGTGACCAGCACGCCGATGACCAGTCCAGCCATTGGGTTGGACAGCACCACGTTGTCCCTGAAGATGTCTCCGGCCAGTCTGCCTGCACCGGCGAGAGAGCTGCACTCAGGCTGCGGAGGGCTGGCTGCCCGCCCCGCCCTGGGCACCTGCCCGTCACTCACTGCCCAGCAGCTGGAAGGCGGAGCTGAGGACGTCCAGGGAGCAGATGAACAGGTACAGGCACCCGAGGAGCCCGCAGGCCTTGAGGAGGTTGCCGGCCACAAGACGCAGCCTGGCGGCCATGTGGAGCTCTGAGGACACAGGGCAGGCTGTCCTTGGCCGGCCTCCACCCTGACTGCCCCCCCAAGGCCCCTCATCCTTGGTCCCCGACAGGGCGGGGTCCCATTTTCTCCTCCTCTGTCACCCCCAGGGCAGGGCCTGGGTCCCCTCTGTCCACTCCCCCTGCCTTTCCAAGCCAGAAGCCCCTGGGACCCCCTCTCGAAGAAGCATAGCCACCTGCAGGAGGGCAGGGACGCATGGGGAGCGTGGCTCGTCCACCCCAGGACAGGACACATGATGGGCTGAGGGGCATGCGCTGCCCCCCAGGGGCCTGCATGTCAGTGTTCTCCACGCACAGCCCGTTTGGGCCCCACCCTGCTGTCTCCCCCCAGCCCCTGGGGGACAGAGGCCTGCCAGCCTGGCACCCCCAGACCCACCTTTCCAGGGCTGGCTGGTGTCCTTCAGCTGAGGGAGGGCCCAGGGATCTGTGTCGCCCTCCTGCAAGACTGGAGTAGAACTAGAGGTTCCTGTGGGGGTGGAATTGAGTGTGGCCATTTCCAGGACCCCCCTCAGCTGGGGGCACCAGGACACAGGCCAGGAGGGGCTGAGGCGCGAGAGGCCTGGAGTGAGGGGCAGAAACGGAACAGGGAAGACGGGGCTGCAGCTGGGCTGGACCTGAGCGGAGCTGTCGGAACCATGTGGGCTCCCGGGAGGTCTGTCTCTGCCCAGTGCCCGGGGGACAGGTGGTCAGACCGGTCAAGGCCTGGGGCGTGGGGCCTGCTGGTACCTGCATTCTTCAGCGTCCTGTCCACTAGGTCCACTGCATCCAGAGTGGGGTGGGGGACCTGGCTGTCCGGGAGGGAGCTCCGCATGGATTTCGGGCAGGGACAGACCCAGGCCCAGGC